AGATCTCCTTCTAGCCCTTTGAGTCGTGCTCCAAAACCGGTCAATGCAAGCTACATATCTATTATTATATATATAAATATAAATATATATAAATATATATATATTTCTATGTGTAATAGGCACTCTGCGGGCGGGCGCCTATGTTGGGACCTGTCAATGCCCAGCGCCTGTCCAAGCCAGACAAATTTGACAGGCGAGTGCGTGGGTGGCAGAGGTAGCCAGGTTGACTACAGCGCTTCCTGTTACCTGGCTGTCTGTCAGGAAGTGTCAAATGGCGTGGTCTGTTTTCTGAATCGTTATAAAATATCGTTGTAAAAGTGACGTTGAGCACAATGAATGTATAATTGCTACACAAAATTGGAAGCGTTTTTGCGCCAAAAATCAAATTTGTGTTTTAATCGGATTACAAGTCAGGCAATGCAATAAGCATGGAAATTTACAGAAATGGCATGAGATACATATGTATATAGTATGTGGTAGCTGGCAACAATGGTCTCAAATTGCTTTGGTACTTTGGCCTTCGGCTTGGGTTATCGTTTGCCACGTGCCTGGAACTCAAGTACAGGCCAATTTCCATTTTGGCTCTTGCCAAATTATGAATTTAAATGTTTTTATTATAATTTAATTTTGATTGCCTGTGCCTGCACACAAATATTTCTGTCAGCCACATTCTGTGCGATATCTGCCTCGATTTTGTAGTCTTTTGATTTGTTTTCGCATTCAGAATTTCCATGAATCACGCACACAAAGAAAACTTCTGACGAACCAACAAAAATATTCCGCCTGCCACAAAACAATCAACAGACAGCCGTGTGATTAAACGTCGGGCATCTGCAGCTTGAGGTCGATTCCACCAGCCACGCCCCCATAGTCATGTGGGAGTAAAGCCTACGGAAGTTGTCCACACAAATGATACAAGCTCGTAGTTTGATTGATGCAAAGTATATGGATAGTATTTGCGACAGAGTTGAAAAGCCAAGCAAATGTTCACTTATCGATTTCCCCGTTGAAAGAAATGCCCAAGCACGTTTACGTTTATTCAGACAATGCTGATTGATTTTGGCCTTAAAGAGGTTAAGAGATATATGAAGAGCTTAATTTACTTCAAAGTATTTTGTCTACCGCCACTAGGATGAAGGATCATACAATCGAGAGTTTTTATATGTTTTTGATAACTTGTTTGAATCTTAATCTAAACAACTTTTCTTTTTTAAAATTATATTTCGCTTAACTTTGTTTAATACCAGATAAGGTAATCATGTTTAATCATCAGATAAGGTAACTGCAGTCAAAATTTCAACTTCGCACCTCCTACGATTTGGAATGTGCGTTGATCACCAATCAGTCAGTCAATCAGTCAGTCAATCAGTCAGTCAATCAGTCAGTCAATCAGTCAGTCAATCAGTCTGTCAATAAGTCAGTCAGTCAGGACAAACAGTTTTCTTTACAGTGTTTCTCTGATATGTTTTTTGTTTGACTGGCTGATGTGCAATTATAACAAAAACCTTCTCAATGAAAGATCGTTTGTTGTTAATATTTTAAATTTTTGAAAGCTTGACTCAAAATTTTATTAGATTATATAGGTATGAGTAATATATTCGTCAATCAAACTAGATCAAGCAGAAAAACGAAGGCAGGTTTAATATGATTCAGCTACTTATAATAACACAAATCGAAAGTTTTCAAGTATATTAAAAAGTCAATCAAATAACTAAACGGTAAAAATGTGATCTTGCGCCATGAGAAAAGGGTGACAAAGTGGGTAATGAAATCCTTTAAAACAGTTAAGCTGCTAAAAACCGTATTCATGTAGATATAATAATATAAAAGCGTATTCATAAAACTATGGCTTGCAACGAATAACTTATAGATACCTATCTGCCTGAGGCATTTCGGCTAAATATATAAATATTAAAACAAATGAATCACTATCCAACCACTCGAAATCGAGCCAAGCTGCGAACTTGGCGAATCAAGCAGCTGTTGACTTGAAATGCAAAAGGAGTCCAGGAAAAATCCGATAAAAATAATGAAATATTTATGCATGTGTAGCGCGTATGTGTTAAGTGTGCTTGCGTGTGTGTGTGTGTGTGCCATTCTTATTGTTGTGTCAAATACAAAGGGATTGAAGCCAATACACACAGATACACATCACGTAGGTCGTTATGAGGGGAAGGCGTGGACTGCAAGCAGGGCGGCATAATAACAATATCGAGAACAACGAACAACAACTTGAAGCTGCTTTAAGTAAACACAACACACACAACACACACACACACACACTCTCGCACTTGTGTAAATGCATATGTATGGGCAGATATTTATATTTAGATAGGATGGTCCTGTGTGTGCCTTGGTCCTGGCCGCTCTGATTGGCGCGATAAGCACTAAAGCCGCAAGACAAAAAACTACTAGAAATCGACAAGAGCTCACACGTTAAGTGTTTATAGGATAATACCTATAATATCCATGTATTTGGCTCTGTGCAAGCCAAAAGATTACAACAACAGTAGCCATAACAATAACACTTAAAAGCCAAGCCAAGCGGGCCAACAACACAAGCTCAGATACGCGTACTTACAGATACGAAGATACGAGTCGCTATCTAGAGCTTAAGCATAGTATTTAAAGTCGAACTGCTGACGGCCTCAGCCGCATCCTGCTGTGCGCTGACACCACAGAGAACCACGGATCCAAATCGAGGACAGCGGGCCGTGGCAGCGGCACGGGGCGCGGGCAGCCCCAGATGCGGTTGCGGATGTGCATGTACTATGCCGAAATTTGTTTAAACAGTATTTGAAATTGGGTTACTGCCGAGCATTACATAAGGCCCTGGAAAGAAAACATGTGTAGTATGTGTGCGTGTGTGTGGCACATACATAAATCTCAACAAATATGCAGCGCACAGCGCACGCACTAAGCAACAACAACAAACACGAAAGTCATGGCGGGCACATGAATCACTTCGGAGGGAGGCACCCCATGTACATGCACAAGTCAAAGGCCATTGCGAATGTAAACTTCAAGAAGGCCAAATTTTATTCTCAAGGCTGAAATTGGGCGAATAAACTAGGAAAATTGTCAGAGCATCGCAAATTTACAGCTCTTTAAGGGCAAATAAAAAAATGGAGATAAAAACTCTTGGAGCCTAGCACAGCTGGGCGCTTGAATACGAAAATACGCTGAAATATTCAGAATGCAAAAGGTCATAAAAATGTATGCCTGCGTTTACTAGACATGGATTTTATAACTGCAAAAATACTTAAGAATTTTTTAAAAATGTTGTCTAAAAAAGACATTGCGAAAGGTTATCAAGACATTTGTATTTCTCGAAAAAAAAAACAATTCCCTTTTATGAATTGAGTTGTTGGAAAAAGACTCGTTTAGACTTCATTGCTTCAATGGATTAAGGTGGAGGGTGAAATACCATCCCATAATGTTTCTAACTTTCTTTTTATGCATTACGAACTTTCTTGTTGAATGCATGATGGTTTTTTTTTATTATATATATATATATTTTTTTTATTTTATTGTCAGTTGCATTTATATTCTTTGGGCTTATGTTGCCAGAACCACGTAAAGAGCTTTCTCATGTTTGTGTATGTCACATTGTTCCGGCTGCACTTTTGTGCTTTTACCTATTTTTTTTTGCTTTTTGCTTCAGGGGTCACCTTCTCTATGTCTGTTTACTAAGTGATGCCCCCGCTGCTGGCCAATAAACAACACTCGTGCAGTCTGTGGAAAGCGCACAAATCTAAAATCTGCAGTCGCCTAAAGCCCGCAAATCTTGGCTTGTGGCGTGGCCAAAGGCGAAGTGCAACACAAAAGGAACAAACAAGCGAGCAAACAAACTGGCAAACAGACTAACAGGGCGCACGTTTAATTTAAAATTTCCCGTGCAAGGACACTGGAGCTGACGAAATGACAAACAGGAGGCGAGCGCTGAGTGAACGGACAAACTGTGCAAAGAGCACACGGGATATCCGTTTCCGTTCTAACAAGTGCCACCCTAAAAGCAGACACACACACACACACACACACACACACACGCGCACAGAGTTGCAATGAAGCGCACTTTGCAGTAGCTTCCGGTGCTCGTACTCAGCAAAATACCAATACCAACACATGCCTATATTGAAGGATGCCCATGTAATGTTGAAATTGACATAAGCACAGACACAGGCGCTTGATTGTGCGGCTTGTCTGACTGTTGCTGGCCATAAAAATGTACAGAACACTCATACGCCGTGTGGCCACCCAGTGACAATAACACGCGACAAATACACGGCAAAAGGAAAGGAAAGGGAAGGTTGCAGCAGGGCTTACAGTAGGGCATAAAAGATACCAGGCGGACAAGTCGCTGTTTATGCTCATGTAGGTGACGCACGCCTTCGACTAAAAATCTTTGTTATTTCGGTTCTTTTTTTTTTATCAGAAAACAGCTAATTTGATCAAATATGCATAGATGGCATTTTCGAAGCGTGTGTATATCAGAAGGGTGTTTTGTACTTCAGTTGGCTGAGATTTAAATATAGACCAGGCTATGACGACTTATGAATCATTTATGAATAAGCTATAAAAATAGATCAAATGCGCACTTGTACTAGACCTGAAATATAATTAAGCATAGATATTTTTTATATAATTGTCTTACAAATTGGGCTATTAATAAACAAGTCTAAAAGCAAACAATTTTTTCAATTATTTTTCTTTTATAGAAATCAGGTTTAGGCCTGACCTAAAGAAGTTGTGAGTCGCGACAAGAAAATATAAAAATTATTCTAAGTAGAAATTAAAGAATTTGTTTTCGTTCAGCAAAATGTGTACATAAAAATATTCTTTTAAAACAAATTATAGTTTCTCGGAATAAAGTAGGGAAATATATATAAAAGTGGGCAAATGTTTAAATCTTTAAAAGAATAATACATTTTCTACTAATTGAGAAAATAAATCAATTTAAAATTATTTATGTAAAACTTAAAAAATTAAAATATGCTCACATTGAAATTGATTCCAAAAATTTGCCGCTCAATTCAAATGCTGTCAATCCGCAAGCCACAAAAAAAAAAGCAGAAGATAAATAGATATGTCACACGTTTTGCAGTTCATCCAATGTCAGATGCAATTGTCGCATACACATTGATATTTGAAATAGATGCGAAAATCCGTACAGGTACTCATATGTGTGCATATGTATTTTATATAGGTTTTTATTTATATTTTGCTCATTCGCTCTGCAGCTACTTGTGGATTCTTTTGTTTCTTTCGGTTCTGTTCGGTTCGTTTGTGCTCAATGCAATCGTTTTAGAAATGAGAATTCCTCAGATTTATTGTTAATTTTTATATTGAAAACGACGTTGTTTATAATATGAAGGGGTAGGGGGAAGGTGTTAATTATATGCGTGTTTTGCGGATGCCTTTGCTGGCTGTTTTTCTGTTTTGTTTGTATTTTACGCGCGCGTTCGTTTCGTTTTAGTTGTTGGTTCGTTTCACACTAAGCGAACGAAAATCATTGAAATTTTCTACTCAAGCGAAAATGGCCTGTCTGCTGCTGCTGCGGCGGAGACGGTGACGGCGACGGTGACTGCGACTGCGACGCAGCGCAGGAAAAACCCAAAAAAATAAAACAACACTCTCTTGAATGTTTTTTCAACTGCAAGGAGGCAGCACTTAAACAGAGAGTGGGAGAGAGAGAGAGAGCGCGTGCGAGATAGTGTGAGTGAGAGCGCTGCGAGCACTAATGGCAAGCAATGAAAAGCTTTCCCTCTCCTTCATTTATTTGTTTGTTTGTTTTTGTTATGGCGCGCTACGAAGTTGCCAGACTGCCTCAATACCAATATGGCGTATGCGTAATGCGTTTTTTTAAAACGCGAAACGCTTGCTGAACATGTGAACGCGCGCGTTTGTGAGTGTGTGGGTTGAAATCTTAGAAAACGAGGGGGAGGAGGTGGGGTTTCTTATGCTAAGCGCTGATAGCTGCGGTTATGTCTTCGGCGGGCAGGATTCCTCGCAGCGTTGTTTGGAATTCAAATATTGTTGCTGCCAATGTGTGTGTGTGTGTGTGTGTGTGTGCGCTGAATAACAATTACGAATATATATTCACAAATATGAACAAAATGAAATATAGACTGTGTGGCACTAAGACAATCGCTTCAATTTTCCACTTTGCTGCCTTTTTCATGGCTAACGATGGCAAACGAGAATGTTTTGTTGTCTACATACCCAACCAACTATTATTACGGTTAACACATATATTATTCAATGCATGTACCCCTAAAACTATTGTCATAATTGGCTGAGACAGAAGGAAAGCAAGTATCAACTAATGGCTTTACTTTAATTTCAAAATTCTTCACTCAAGAACATAAATTTTAGCTTTTATAATTGAATGTTGCATTTTTCATATTATATTTATATTTTTATATTTAATACTAAAAACAAGAACAATTTAAAAAAAAAACTTTTTGAGCCTTAACTTGTTTAATGAGGTTGATTTAGTCTCGTAAATCCGTTAGTCAATAGCGAAAACTTTTTAAGCTGATTATCTGGCGAAAGGGATTTCGATATTTATGTAAAAATCATTGACATTAACCATACTAAAGTTCATAATGCCTGAGAAGCAGTTTGTCATGCTTCACCTTCGTGACGGACTCATTGGACCTTGAATTATAGATTAATTACAGGAGGCAGTCAGCTTGACGGGCACCGAGAGGGGAAGATGATATTTTAACAATAAAACCGTTTTCAAGGACTTGCCTGGCCACTGTCACTCACCTAGACACACGCATATGGACGAATCATATACATATGTGCGTTTGTGTGTGTGTGTGTGTGTGTGTATGTGTGTGTGTGGCATCTACAGGTAGCCGCAGCAACGATACCTCCACAGTTTGCTTCGATTTTCTAACGAAATCGAAACTCTACACTGCAAGAGCGCTGCCGAGAGCAACAGCCGACAGAGAAAGAGAGAGAGAGAGAGAGAGAGAGGGTGGGGAAAAAGCGCAAAATGCGCTTCAGAAATGCATCGCACTGACACAAAAAATCTGTGTGCGCAATATTTGCAACATTTTGGGCTTACGTTTGTTGTCGGCCTCCTGATTGTTAGACTGAATTACAAATTTTTCAGCTAACTGTTGTTAAATATTCATGACAGTTATTTGGATGCACACACACACACACACTCGCGTACACTAAGCCAAACACAGCGCGTAACTGACACAGACACTAGAAAAAGTGCTGTGTGCTTTTAGGCGCCCGCAGGACTAGCGTCTGTCTCGACTGTCCTTTGCCAACTGAAGGCACGTCGCGAAAGTTTGTTAGCTTTAAAGCGCCGCCAAAAGGATTGCACTTGAAGCTTCCACTGTTGACCAAGTTTCGAGTCGGCTTCGTGCGCTGCTCGGCTGCTCGGCAGCTCGGCAGCTCGGCTGTTCGTGTCAGCTCGTGCCTGCATGTAGGCCAACACAGAAACGAGCCTCCTTTTTATTGAATTTTTGCGCGCACGCATCAGCAGATAAGCTTTCAATGGCGCGGTAAATTGTTGGTGAACGCGCGGGTGTGCGGAGGTTCGTAGGAGGCTAGAGTGAAGCGTATGCTTGCGGTAAATTGCAAGCCAACAAAGTTGTAAACAAATCATTAAAACCGTATCGAAAGCGCGGCCAATAGTTTGTTGGAATGGTAGCTTAGGTGAGCAGCTGTACGTATGGCAAGCGTGGCTAAGCTTTTGCAAAAGCTTTCGAGCTTATGCCTTTTAACGAAAATGATAATGAACTACTATTTTGTGATATCATAATGCAATATTCTATAATAATGTGACAAATATAAGTTTATGTTATATAGTTTTTTTTTTGTCCACCTATTTTATATAAATGTTTTGAAAATTTTCCGCAATGATTGGTAATTTCGAATACCTAACAATTACTAATGGAAAAGCACTGCCTATATATGAAACGCTTTAAAAGCTCCTGCGTAGCGCAAGTGCACCCTACAGCTCTATGTAAACAACTATTTTGCAAAAAGCTTTTCGCTGGCTCATGCAACCCGTAACACACATCAACAATGATAACAAACTTTGAGTATTGTCGAACAGAGCAATAAGAGCTTTCAACAAAGCAACAAGAAAGCGTACAACAACAACAATAGCAGGAAAATAATTTGCGGGTATTTTTGTTTACTTGGCATTTTGTTTATACTGAGAGCAGTTGCTGCCGCGCCATTGTCGCTGTTTCAATGTTCGCTGAGAGTTAGGAACTCGGTGCACACACACTCACATGATTCACAGGGGAAGATGCACATTGGACTAGGGTTGTTGGACACGGATGCAGTCATATGGTTGAAACTGTCGTAGATTGTGGTCAGGTAAGCGCATACAGAATGAAAGGGGGAGCAATTTTGCTGCGTAGCGGGACAAAAAACTTAAAAACTTGGTAATATACAAACTAAATGAACAAAAAAAAAACAAATATACAATGATAAAAAATTGTTATTCACTAAATTAGGGTTTAAATTTGTGGAGAGTTTATTAAATGGTCATAATATTGATCAACATCTTAACGTAATTCAATTATATTTTGTTGAAACGAGACCACAGTGAAGCACATTTTTGTTAGTCTGTTGTCGTTGGATTCGTCGTTTCTGCTTTGTGTCTCTGTCTCTTTGCATTTTGTAGCGCGCAGTTGCCGTTGCTCTGCTGTTTTGTTTCTGCCTGTGTGTGCCTGTGTCTGTACGACTGTATGTGTGCCTGTGCCTGTGTGTGTGTGTGTATTGTTTGTATTATTTGTTGTTCGCCAGCAACAACAACAATAAAATTTGTGCTCTTGTTGTTGCCAGCTGTGTGCGTCGTTCGTGTGTGTGTGTGTGATTCTGTGTTCGAGAGAGAGAGAGAGAGAGAGAGAGAGAGAGGGAGAAAGAGAGCAGCGTTTTGTGCGTTCTTCTCTGTTTGCTGTTGTCGTCGCACAGTGGAAAGAAACTGTAAACCGCCAAAGGAAACTTGTTGAAGGAAAGTATGCCTATTTTGGCCTTTGACTAAAACAATATGAAGCCAAATATGTTTCAATCTAAGAAAAAATATTCTATATAGGATAGGTAAGGTAAGCTATAAATATATATGAAGAATACATGAGCATGCGTGCAAAATTATGATTATATATGATTTTATAGAAGAAATAACTTGTGGAATTAATCAAAAGGTATGCATAAAAGTCCTTACTAACTTTGAAATGGGTATATTATTTTATTTTTTGTGTATCACAGGGTAAATAAATAAGCGTCATCTAAGAAAAATGTGTGTGTTCCAATTTTTAATCATCCCCTTTCAATAAAACTGTATTCGTTTTATAAGTACAACAACCCGATGATGAGAAATATGCAGCTAGCAATGTTAATTGCGTACCACTGTACGTCGTGGTCGCTGCTTGCTTGCCTGCTGCTACTTCGACTGCTGCTGCTGCTGTTGTTGTTGTTGTCGTTGTTGTTGTTGTGTTCTACTGTAGCTGATAGATACTGAGTATCTGAGTGTGTTTAGTCGCTTTCGTCGCTTGAAACGTGAAACATACGACAACTGAAAACGAAATTAAAATTGCAACTTTTTGTATGTTACGTCAGTCGGCCGCTGTTGTTGTCACAGTCGCAGTCACAGTCGCAGTCGCTGTTGCAGTCGTCATCGCTGCCGTCGACAAAGACATCGCCAAAGCAGCGGATTCTTTTGGCGCCGTTTTCAGTGCGGCACTGGCTTAAAAATAAGCGCGGTTTGAATTTATTTAAAAACGGTTTTTTAAACGTTGGCCCGGACGGAAACTGCAGAGTACAGGTAAAATAAACAACATGTTCGAGTGAAAATGTTTTCGAAAAAAATAAAATAAAATAAAAACCACCAGAGCAACAACAAAAACAATGCTTTGGCCAGATAAGCAACAACAATTCACCAACAAGAAAAATTCTATATGCCATAGTGTAACTGTTTGTGTGCCAGTGTGTTCTGTATGTATGCGCGCGTGTGTGTGTGTGTGTGTTTGTGCCTTTTGTTGCTGCTGCTGATGCTATGGCTGTTGTTGTTATTGTCGTTGCCGCTGCTGCTGCTGTTGTTGTTGTTCTATCTAACAAAGTTATTGCCTTTGCCTTCGTTGCTGCTGCTGTCATTGGTCAGAAGGCAGCGGTCTGGGGAGGGGGCAGCCGGGTATTTCTGCAAGTTTTGTGTGTGTTTTGTTAGCTTTAGAAATATTCTGTTTTTTTTTTTTTTTGTTTTTGTGTTTTCTTGTTTTGCACGTTGCTGTACTTTTGTGTGCTGTTGCTGTTTCTGTTGCTGTGTTGCTGTACAAATACATATACATACATATAAATACACACATACTGTATATACATACTCACAGTCAGATAGAACAAATATGTACATACATACATATATACTAACATATGTACGTATTTTATGTTAATAGACAAACTACAATTAATATTGCTAGCTAGTTTATTGTTTCCCTCTCTACTCGACGTATAAAAACAACACAACTACAACAATAACCGTTGCGCAGGCGGTACAACAACAGCAACAACAACAACAAAAATCAGCAAACAGCAGCAGCAAAAGTTACAACAACAACGTCTCGCTGCTCTGCCGCGGCTGCGTCAGCGACGCTGGCAACTGTTAAAGGCGAACAAACAAAACTAACGAAAACAACAAAAACAAATGACGAATAATACAGAACATACGACAGCGACAGCAGCGGCAGCAGCAGCAGCAGCAGCAGCAGCAAAGGCAATAACAAAAGCAACGTCAACAGCAACTACGGCAACAACAACGATAACAACAACAGCCAGAACTGAAACACGCGCGCAGCGTAGAAGATGATAATGAAGTTGGCAATGTTGATAATAATGATGACGACAAAAACAACATAACAACTGTGCCACAGTGGGCTGAATATATCGCATAATTAAAACATTCCAAATTGTGTTAAATGTAATCACATTTTATATGCGTACATTTAATATTTTATAACAACTTTCAAATTTTTTGCCTGTTTTTTTAATTTTAATTTTCCTATAATTCTCAAATGTTACTTATCAACAGTTTTTGTACATTATTGAGCACTTTTTCAGTGACGAATTTCATGCTCTCAGGCCACTGTGCGCACGTTGCTTGTGTGCAAAACTGGTGGGCTTAACGCAAGGTGCTGAAAGTGGCGGGAAAATTTGTTAAAGATTTTAGCGACAGCCACAACTCAGAGAGAGAGAGAGAGAGGCGGAACGATTTAAGGAGCTAGAGAGCAGTGAACAGAAAGAGAGGGAGAGAGAGAGAGAGCGGGGTAGTGCAACACTGAGTGGGTTGATTAGAATCAAAACAGGTAGTCGCAGCAAGCAGCTGAGCAGTTGCAATAATAGTCAGCCAGGCCGTCGGTCTCAATAGGCATGCGAATCATTAAACGAATCATTTGCTGAGTGTATATGAATCGTTGTGAATAATAACTCAATCGCTGTCATTGCTTTTGCTGTTATCAAAACGGCGCAAATGGGTTCGAGTGTGTGTGTGTGTGTGTGTGTTTAGGGCCAAGAATGGCAAGAACTTGTTACAATAAAAACATGTACAGCCAAATTGTCTGTTATTCTTACTCTACCTCGATGCTTGTTATTGTTGTTATTGTGGATATAATAATATGAAAAGCAAACAATGTTGCTAATGTCGTTGTCGTTGTCGTTGGCGTTGACGTCGACCACAAATGTCACGAAAGCAAATACAACAATAAAAGCGGCCAGTGTTTTATTAGGTTTCACAAAATATACATAGTTATGACAACAGCAACAGCAACAGCAACAAAAATATCAACTGCGAAAAGCTCTCTGTCGTCGCCAGCTTCAGCTGCTGTTGCTGCTGCCTCTGTTGTTGCTGAGACAGCAGCAACACTAACACAGACGCAGCCCAAAGCACTTTGTAACGGAGCACCGAATTGTGTAGAGTAAACGTTTCGCTTGTTGTTCTGACTGCCAGCAACAACAGCAATAACAACAGCAGCACAGTTGCTGGCGTGTATTGCAATTGCTGTTGTTATCAGTGTAACCAGCAACAGCAACAACAACAGCATTGCAACATTAAACTGTAAACTGATTGCAAATTCTGTAATTAACAGACTGCAACAACAACAGCCAGTGGAACGAATATGACCACCTCAACGCCCAGCAGCAGCAATAGCACCACCAACACCACCAGCAACACCACCAGCAGCAACAACGACAACAACAATCGACAAGGCGACGTTGAGCGAGCAACCTCAGCAACAACTTTATACAACAGCAACAGCCCGACAGCAACAGCAGCAACCATAGGATCAACAAATCGTGTCATGCAAGCGGACGAGGATTTCAACATACGATTCGTTAATTTGGTGCGCACGTATCGCTGTCTGTATGACAAGAAAGTGCCGGAGTATCGCAACAGGTGAGTGAACCGCAGCGTGAGACGTGCATCAATTAATCATACCTATTTATAATAGAAGGATAAAGATAATAGCACAATAGCATCATGTTGCTGTAGCTTAGGCTTATAGTTTGTCCTTTCGACTTTATCTAATAATACTCTATTTTTTGTACATTACAGAGACAACCAGGAGAAAGCCTGGGCACTTATTTCAAAGGAGACGCGTGAGAGTGGTAAGCGTTAAGTTAGCTATTTATCAAACAAGTTAATAAATATTACCTGACATTTCAGTTATTCACTGCAAGGAGAGATGGCGGAATCTGCGTGCGTGCCTTTCGCGCTACATCAAACAGCAGAGCGGCTCTGAGCCGCAGCATAAACCTTATTATCTGACCGAGCACATGGCGTTCCTGCTGCCGTTCCTCAAGTCCTCGCGTAATTCACTGGATGGCAATAATAGCTTGGCGACGCTCTTTCAGTTCTCCCAGCAGCATCTGCAGCTGCATCAGCAACAGCAGCATCAACAGGAACATTTGTACTGCAACAACAACAACAACAACAACAACAGCATTGTCCTAAATGAATCCCTGGAGCTTAAGCAGTCGCTATCTGAGAACGATGATGAGGAAACAATTGATGCTTTTGATCCAGCCATAGCCGCAACACTGGGCCTGCAGCGCGCGGTTCCTACACCGGGATCTAATGTAATGGCAGTTCCCGGCTCGCCAGCCCGTAGCGAGACGGCTAGCGCGAATAGCCTTCAGAATTTTATACCGGATGTGCAGCTGGCAGAGTCTGGCCCGGATTTGGTATACAACGATGCTTCCTCCACACCAGTGCATCATAAGCCGCCACATTCCCACAACCATGCGCTACACGGCCATCACCATCAGCTCCAACAGCTTCAACAGCAGCAGCAGCAGGCGGCGCACTTCGAGCAAAGCGGTGCCAAGAGGATCAAGACCGAGTGCGAAGCCACCACGACCAGCAGTGGCGTCGCCTACTTCGGCGAGCTCAGCGTCACAGAGCACACAGACATGGAATTCTTTCGCAGCATTCTGCCGGACATTGCAGCACTGACGCCGCAGCAGCGTCGCAAGTTCAAGATTGGCATACTCGAGCTAATTGACGAGGTCGTGGAGCGCTACCCATCCCAGGAGCGTTACAATGGCGGCGTGCTCAACGGCAGTGGCGGCAACAGCAGCGGCAGTGCCGTTGGCGCTGGCGGTGGAGGCGGCAGCGGCTCGGCAAGCAACAGTGCATCCGGCAGGCAGCAGCGGCGCAATTCTGGACGGGATTGGCGCAAGTAAACAGAAATCCTTAAATCTAAATATAAGAAGTATAGTTAGGTATTCCAGAAATGGTTGATGCCAAGAGTTGAGAAGCTTAAGCTTGGAAAGCCAACAATAAGAAAACAAATAGCGTATTGAAACAATTTTTTTTTGATTGGATTTTTTTTTAAGAAAAGCCCAAGTATAGCTTAAATGAATATTGCCTTGATCGGCTACTGAGATTTCAAAATTTCCTATGAATGGTGCAGTTCTATAATAATTAATATCCTAAAATAAGCAAAGCAAAAAATGCCATAACTTTTCAATTCAAATTACGAAATTTTATCTTTAAGACATCTAGGATTTTACTTTATGTTTATTGAATTCTGAGTTGAGTCTATGAGACCATATACAAAAATATTTGATTCATTTCTGCACTTGGAAAATATAAATTCCGTTAAGAACGCGTTACTGTCCTCAGCTTGCCATGGTTAGCTTCTCAACTCTTGGGCTATTCGCCGCTCAGTGTCCATGTGTCGTGTGCTCAATGTGTTATTTCTAGATATCAATTACCTAAAATGCGGCAGCTGATGCCACAGGCTTTTGGCTGCTGCAATGCTAACTGTTGTTTATATAGAGAATTTAATGTGTAAGCAGCTTTGTATATAGAAATGGATGTTATGCATAGTGCGTAAATAGGCTAGGCTATAAGATTGATGTACAAAATCGTTGCAGATTAGACTTAGGCAATCAGGAGCTAGCAATTTCTAAGCTCACAAACAATCGTGTCAAAGAATTAAATGAATGTATGAAAATATTACATGATATAGTTTATTATTAATAGGCTGAAAACTTCAACAATTCATCAAAGAGCGGGGCGTTTGGAGGCTACTCCAAAGTATTTAGTGAGAGAAATGCATAAGATATAAGGCTACAAATTCACTTTAAAGCTAAATTTCGTATATTGTTGTCGTTTACAACTTTGAAGCGCCAGTCTTGGGATAGAATTTCTTTGATGGATCCTTGGCCATATCGAGCAGTGTTTGGGCTGGCTTAAATGGTGCACCATACAGATCGGCGTAGGACTGCATTTTGCTAACCAACTTGCCAGCACCGTACTGGTCAACCCAGCGGAAGGGGCCGCCCGTGAACGGTGGGAAACCCAGTCCAAATACGGCGCCGACATCGCCCTCCAATGGGCTATCCAGAATCTTCTCCTCCAGGCACAGCACTGCCTCGTTAACAAAGCGGGACACCATGCGCAGTGTCAGATCTTCGGGAGAATTGGCACCCTTGGACACCAGCGAATACTTTTGCTTTACAATCTCTAAAGCATCAGTATTCACTGGACGGCTTCCCTTGCTCTTGCCATCATACAAGAAAATGCCCTTGCCAGACTTGCGGCCCAGGAAACCGGCCAGCACTAGATCTTGCATGACCTCAAGATTGCCGCCACTGAAGCGGTCCCCGAATGACTTGGCCAAATCGACGGCAATGTGGGAGCCCACGTCAATGCCCACCTCATCGGCCAGTGTGGCAGCACCCACTGGGAAGCCAAACTTCTTGGTGAACTGATCCAGCTCCTTGGCATCAACGCCCTCTTGCAGCAGTCTGAGCGAAAGAACACGATTACAAGAAAATTGAGTTGGAAGCCTAACGCGAGATTCACCTAATAGCCTCGGACAACATGGTAGCCAGAATGCGCGTCGTATAGAAGCCAGGACCATCGCCCACAGTGATCACCACTTTGCCCTGCTTGAGACCAACAGCCACAGCCTGTGCGACCGTGTCCTTAGAGGTGCCTGGATGCGTGATGATCTCCAGCAGCTGCATTTTGTCCACGGGCGAGAAGTAATGCATGCCCACCACTTTGTCGGGACGCGAACTGCCAGCTGCAATCTTTGTTATGGGAATGGCGCTGGTATTGGTGGCGATGATGCAATGCTCGGGCACCACAGCCTCCAGTTCCTTGATCACACGATGCTTAATTTCTATATTCTCGAAAACAGCCTCAATCACAATGTCGGCTGTCTTGAAGTCGTTGTAGTTTAGCGTGGGCAGCAAATTGGCGAGTGTCTGATCGCGTTCCAGGGCGGAGATGCGCTTGCGCTTAACAGCCGTTTCGAGGCCCTTCTGAACTTGACCAATGCCGCGTGCTAGGCCCGCGTCGGTGGCATCCTTCATGACAACATTGTAGCCCTTGTCCACCGAGACCTGCACAATGCCGGCGCCCATTAAACCAGCTCCTAGCACGCCCACAGTCTTCACAGGACGCTGGGGCTTACCGAAGCGATTCTTCTTGCATTCGGTCTGACCACGGAAAAGTGCGATGAGGCCCTTTGATTCGGGTGTGGCTGACAGCTCACCGAAGCCTTTGCGTTCCGCCTCGTAGCCAGCCTCGACACCCTTGTCCACACCAGTACGAATAACTTCTAGGATCTGAGCAGTATATGAGGATAATGTCGGTTGTCCGTCTTACAAATAATAGATATATGGATTGTAACCGGCTCACCTTGAGGGGCGCAGGATAGAGTCCACCAGAGGCCTTCATCACCTGTTTGCGTGCTGTATCAAAGATTTTGTTTTTAACAAAATCTGTGTCCATGACGAGTGCTTGCAGCTTATTGACCAAGCCCGTTTTCTCGCGGTTGATCTGCAAAAGCAACCGCAATGATATCATCTTATATGTGAATCTCCGAATGGACAGCTTACGCGTAGTTTGCCGCTGGCCAAATCGTTGGCCACTTGCACAGCAGTTTTCTCCAGATACTCCATGGTGTTTTGTTCCGCGGGCTGTAGGCCAGGTCCAATGGGATCGACCAGCAAATCGACAATGCCCAAACGCTTGGCACGATCAGCACGCACCTGCTTGCCTGTCAGCTCCAGGTCCAAGGCGGTGGGCACTGATGTCAGCCTAGGGAGACGCACAGTACCGCCGCCGCCGGGCAGCAGACCCAGCATAACCTCCGGCAGACCCAGCTTCGTCTTGTTATCCTTGGTGGCAATGCGATAGTGACAGGCCAGCGCTAGCTCCAGGCCTCCGCCAAGGCATACACCGCTGATGGCGGCCACAATGGGCTTGCGGCTGCGCTCCATACGATCGAACATCAGCTGCGCACCGTGCGAGATGAGGGTCGCTTCCTCGGCTGTCTGGCATGCCTCCAGCATGCCAATATCGGCGCCAGCCACAAAGCAGCCCGGCTTGCCCGAAATAAGCACCGCCGAGTTGACCGATGGATTAGTCTCCAGATCCTTAATCACACGCTCGAACTCATCGCTCACCTCGCTGCCCAGCGAGTTGACCTTGGCATTGGGTGAGTCAAACTTAATGACCAGCACCCCATTGACCACTTTGGTGTGCAGGTGTTTGTTGGCGACATCGGCTGCCGGGGCGAGCTTCGGCGCTGGATTTGTGGACATTAGACGACGCTGGAGTTGTGCAGCAGCAGGATATGCTGAAATTAATCAATTAACACTGTTCAGAGATTCCATAACAGCACATTTCATATACAAGTTGAGACTTTGGCATTATCTCATACGGGGGAGTACAAAGGTCAAAGTCCAGTTATGCGGCAAACGCTGTCCAAGCGATTAACAATTCTCTATTTCAATTAATCGTGTATACTGCACACACTGCACTGCATTTTCTGCCCGTTTTAAGTATTATTTGCATTATTTTTAATCTATTTTTGTATAATTACCTCTAGCGCATTTGTTCTGCAGCAGTTGCTGCCTCGAAATTTGGCCGATTGCACTCAGAAATCTCGTTGCCGACATTACACAGCTCTTTGTTCACACAAATTCGCAATAACTTTTATAAACTTATTATTAACTGTTGGTTATGCACTTTATGCTTGGTTAAAATAAAAATATATTATAAAAATTGTTGTATAAAAACTATGTGGCAAATTAATTGACTTGTTGCACACTGCAAGTGCCGACAACGCTAGGCAGACTATCACTATCGATAACATACATAAAAATCATTGACCAACCGCCACAATTTACAGACGATTACCAATGTTATTCACTGGCATACGCGTACTTGACTCATAGATGGCGCTTTGGGCTTCTTTTATTTTATCGTACAGTTTTTAAATGCAAACGATTTTCAATGTATTTTTTGATTATATCTTTCACATTATCTATATCTATATTGACGTTATATATGTAAATATTATTGTAGAAATGAGACGACTTTGCACATATGCACATGCACACTTCAATACATACATCGATGCACGAATACATACATACAATATATATATTAATACATACACAGAGAACCAAAAAGTGGAAGAGATGGTAATTTATATGCTTATATTCATCATAATCATATTGTACTTATTCACGTAGAAATACGTATTGTAATGTGTGTGAAGTAAAGCTTATTATATGTATGTGTACATGCACACACTCAAACATATAAAACATGCGTATGTGCACAAATATGTATATTCACCAACACACATATACACATGCGTTTGCAGACATGTACATATACATATGTAAATACACATACATAAACGTTATATGATAAGAATGAAATGGCTTAAAAGCTGCATATATACATTTCGGATACAAGGTTTTGGTGTGAGGTCCATATGTACATATGTATGTATATGCAGCTATGCACATTCATTGAACTCTGACTAATTGATGTCATGTGAATGTTTGGGCTGATAAGCCCGCTGCTTTTGGAAGGAAGGTCGTTTGGTCGATTTGTGTGTCAGACTCAAGTGTGACTTTTCGGCTGACGTATCCTGTCAGGGGCATGTCCATCGGGAATCGCAGCTGCAATGATGCAAAAAACGATTAACTATTTAATTTATGATACGTGGCAGAAAATGTTGCGACAATAAAACCCACAACAATGTGCCGAAATGCTCATCCAAAACCATTTAACGTGGCCACTTCAAAGGACACGACAAACGCCTCAGCGCAAACGAGGCGCGTTTAATGTGCGCTTGAATGAGTCCTCGGCGCAGGCGCACAGCTGACCTCACCCGATCCGACCCGACCCGACTCGGCCCGAACGATTCGAGCGCTTGCCCTGCGGTGACGGGGTGGGTCAGCGTGAAAATCGCTCTAAAAAAGGACAAAAAAAAAGAAGGTCTCAAAAGTGGATTTTCTTGTGCATGCCTCATTTATCAGTTTCCACTGTAAAAGATGGCACTTTAGATTTCAATATTTATTTAGCTTCAATGCAATAAAAGCGAATCGAATCAAATATGGAAAATGTATCGCCAATGCGAAATGAATTCCTTACTCTGGAAGGCACCTTGCCATTTCAGCTAACTGCAAATATAACAAAATTGTCTTAAATTACAAGAAAAGTTGCAATCTATTTAGAATTCTATTCAATTCCATATTACTTTTCCTTTCTCCCGAAGGAAACTTGCCATCTAGCCCAAATGCAAAGATATCAAAATTGGCTTAAATTAAAAGAAAAGTTGCAATCTATTTAGAATTCTATTCAATTCCATATTACTCTTCCTTTCTCCCGAAGGAACCTTGCCACCTAGCCCAACTGCAAAGATAGCAAAATTGGCTTAAATTAAAATAAAAGTTTCAATCTATTTAGAATTCTATTGAGTTCTATAATATGCTTTGCCCAATAATACCTCAGCTAGGCTCACGTGGAGACGAGTTTCCTACACATTTGCCACTCCACAACAATCAAAAACCCTCTCGAAAGGGCCTGCCACTTTATAGAGATATAAACACCTATTAATTTTTTATAAGCCAGAAATCCCTGAATATTAAAATCAGGCTCGTGATTTTTAATGCTCAATTAAAGGTTGCCTGTCAGGCGCCACTCAACTATTTGAAACTATAAGCCCATTTTTTTGTTAAGTTTGTTTTTTTTCATGCTAAGCTGATTATAAATAATTAAAAAAAAAAAAAACGAAATGAAACGTATGCTAGGTGAAAGGGTTTCCCAAGCGCGACCCTAATGAGGGTTTGAGGGCGACCATAAACAAAACGCCCATTAGACGGTTGTCCTGTGTTGTGCCTGCGCGGGGCTTGGCGCGTGCGACCTTCAAGGATATTCGCGGATTGCGAGTGGAAGCGCGGAGATGACTTTGTTTCTGGCGATATTTGCATATATAATTCGAGAGCAGCTACCCCTGCGAGCAGATGAAAACATTTATAATGTTTTGATTTCATTTATGTTAATTTCCAACCATAAATCACACAAGAGCGTGTGCTTCCTGTCGCAGTGTCCTTGTTGTTTGATTAGCCCCTCTAAAAAAATAAAAATGCAAATAAAAATATATATCAAGCCCAGCCGTATGCAAATCCATCTGTGCTCTGACTCTGTTTTGTTGTTATCCTTTGCCCTGGGTGCCGAGCATTATGCAAATTAGTTAACATTGATCCTTTCGCCTTTTGCTGCCTTTTGTAATTCAATATTCGCGTGAATTGCCCGAGTTGCCAAAAATGATCATTCTGCACTCTTCCATCTGGGGTTGAGGTTGCGCGAATTTGCCAAACTAATTCAATATGCATAACAGCCAATCTCACAGAGCCAGCCAATTTGTTAATGCACATATTCGCACAAGGGATTTCAGCTAATATAGCTGTTAAGGCCCAAATCAAGCAGGATACAGCAGGACGATGAGGCTTAAATTTGAAATGCAAAGGTATTTTAGTTTTTATTTTAAAGTGTCTTTACTAGAATATTCATTTGACTTTATATACTATATTTATTGTTTTGTTTGTAATCACAATTTTATGTGAACTATTAGGACATAATCAGAGCAGTGTAGACAGGATAGGTCTAGAGGGTGGGTCTGTTGAGGGGGGTTTATTATGTGCAAGAATAAAAAGAAAAATAAAGTTTGATTATTTTAATATTTAACAATTATAAAGATTAAGTTTCAGGCTATAAGTATAACATAACTAGTATAACATAATTAGTATAACATAACTAAGCTTAACATTGCTTAACAGCTCTGTAAAAAAAAACTGAAGATGTCTAAGAAAGGACTCTATCTTAATGAATTAGATATTGTTTTAATGGAGAGCAATGTGGGCAGCGCCTTATTAGTTTATGAACTTGACATAAATTCAAGATTACCTAAGTCAACTTAGTGAAGTCAGGTATATCTTCATTTGATATTTTATGGATTTATAGGCTTAAGCAAATAACTAGTAAACGTAGTGAGCCGGAAAATGTCAAGGTCCGGTTTGTATTCAATGCTTGGGATCAGTCTGAACTCTTAGCACATCACACACAGACGCTGACATAGAACACCAGATACTAATCAGAATACAAATCGGAGTTCCGCAATGCCTCCAATTAAGGAATCAAACTCACGCGGCCGTCGCTCCACATCGGAGCCATCGGAACGAAATGCGCGTATGCGACGTGCACCACGGAGTCATCCAGCCCAGCTGCCGGCGCTTGACGGCAGACGGGAGCGGGGTCGATCACGCGCACCACGAAACGATATACCCATTGCCAGGCAACGCCTGGGCATAAGTCCACGGGAGGATGTGCACAGTGGACGGGTGCATCGTCGATCCGCTGCGTTGGGCAACAGAAGACCGCAGATGCTCACCTCCCAGGAGAGTCTGGAGATAATACACAACTATTTGTCCGATTGCGAGCGCAATATAGCCGAATGCCAGATGCAGCGCGGCCAATTGGCACAAATGGTGTCCCATGTAGTGGATCCGAGACGCCGATTGGCGCCCTTGCCAATGGAGTCAATCGACGAGGCGGCTACGTTCCAGAACGCGATCAATCCAAATGGGCCTCCAGATCCATTCGGCATTATGACAGACAATGGCCCAATGGTTCCAGGCGAGGCACAAGCTCAAAACGATTATCGTCTGAGCCCGGGTCTGCCGAACCTAATGAATGCCTTGCGCTTCGTGGCGGACAACATTGGCGACCAGCAGCAGCAGCACCAGCAGCAGCAGCAGCAGCAGGATTCTTTGAACGAGCAGATGCGTCGCATGGAGGCGGTGGCTGCTGCTCCCGGCGATGAGCAGGTTCTGCTGGGACCGCCATTAGCTCCGCCTCCGCTGGCTGAAGGCATCGATATGCTTGCCGCTGGGGACGGCTTCCATGTGGTGCCCATCAATACGGTCCAGCTGAGCCGTTCGGCTGATAACATATTTGCATTTGTTCTCGAGTTGAACGATAACCAAGCCGATGGGTCAGTGCCCCCAGCACCCGACGACAGCGATCAGGATTAGATCTTACCCCCTTAACCCCCCCCCGTGAGCAGCTAATCCGCTGCTGCTCACGGGCATAAGGTGTAAATGTTTTACGTTATCAGTCAATCATTGAAATTATTTTGTTACTTTTTAAACAGGACACAGAAATAACACAATCTTAGGAAATTCTTGAAATAAAAGCAGAGTTCCATGGCGTGTCCCATAAAACTGTTTCTACTTTCATTCGACTCATATTATTTCTTTCTATTTATATTTGATCAAATTGATGAATTATAATGTTCTATAGCTTTTCACTAGAATAAGGATCTCTATCGCAATTCGCAAATTGAATGCCTAAGCGAATAATTCCAACGTCAAAGAAAAGGGCACGTTATAACTTGAAAAAATAGTTTGGTTTCTTAAATGCATAAGTTATAGGATATGTTTAATACGTAATGTTTGGATCTACAACTTACCAGTTAACATCTCTGGAAGAGCTGATCCATCCACTGTAAGAGGCACAAAGTAGCTGCAGCAATGGAGAAAATGATTTAAATATAAATATATACTAAGCTATCTACTTTTATACCTTTCGGCGTGTTTTCAGCAATTGTGCATTCTTTCGCAGCTAATTTTTAAATTTTGATACTTATATACTCCATTTTGATACGATTCGTTTCCAAAGAAGGTCATTTAATCTAGATGAGATGTTGAATATCGCATTTTATTCGAGCGAGAAGATGAACCAAATATTGCTTTCCTAGCCAATCGAATTAGCCAAGTGTCCTTTGGTTCACAGATAGAAATTCCTTTTTGAAATGCAATGTGCGGGATTTTGTCAGGTTCGTAGCAACAGGCGAGGCACATGTCAAGTTTTTGAGCTGTACGAACTGTGTACAAAATATTTTATTTCATTTTAGGTTACAACAAAAGAAACACGAAAAGTGCCAACAAGAATATTCTCAGCAAAAATATTCAGTTTAGTTATATTTTTTTTAAATAGCTTTTAGTTTTTATAGCATTTGTACAAAACGAAAAGCCTTTGAAATCGGTATGGCAAAGAGTCGAAGCACTGAGACCAAAAAGGATGCGGTACGCAAGCCCGTGAAAAGGCAGAGCAAGCCGAAGCAAAAGATATCCATACCCATGATCCTGAATTGTGATGGTAACATATCCGATCTGTTGCCATGGTTCGTAAAAGTTGTGGATCTGCTGAACAAGGATGGCCGGAAGAACGTGCGCAGCAAGAACTCGGGGAATCGGCGCAAGAAGGCGGCAAAGTCCAAGGAGCCTGCAGTGTCGCAGGATATAGAGCTCCCTCAGCAGAAGGAAGCGGAAGCAGAGCCAGACTTGCCTGACAATGTGCCCGTGATGCCCGATGCAGCTCCACAGAAATCTTTGACAGTTCGCCGCCAGGCTTCTCGGAGAGCGGCCAGCAGCAAGGCGCGTAAGCAGCCGATCTTGCGGAGTAAGCGACGCAATCTGGGGCTCAAGCGAGTGCCGTTCAGGCCTCGTCCGAAGCGCAAGTCTTTGATTTCACCCAGATTTTTTAAGCCCACTTCGGATTCGCCGATGGGTTTTGCTCTTGAGGACATGCCAGCTGCTCAGGCTATGCCGTGCTCCGCGGAGCCACACGTGGACTTGGCCCCCAGTCCAAGCTTGGCATTGGCAAGAACCTCTGCCTCAGTTCCGACTGAAACTGAACTTGACTCTGTAGTCGCAGTTGCGTCTGCGCCTCCCTCTTCAACGACCATTGCAATAAGCGACAGCCTAATGGCGATTTCAAACAGTTCCATACTGGACGGAGCTGTTGCCAGGTTCAACGCCAGGATGATGATGTTCCTGCACGCGCAGAGCGCAGCTCTAGAGGCGTTTAATGCAGTTGGAGACGGGCTGCACATCACCAATCGAATTAGCGGCAACCCAATACCATATAACTTTCAGGATGCTTGGAATGAGGCAGTTAATCAAGCTTCGAATTCCGAGCCTCAGCCCGGTTCGCATTGTGCCCCAGATCTGACCATGGCCCAACTATGCCTTGCTGCATTCCCCAAAGAGGATGCTTCGTCCAGCACTGGCCACATCGAGCAGCCCATTGTTGCCAATACTCCCGAAGATAATTCCATATTCGACCACATACGGAACAGCTTGGGTGATATATGTTCTCTCGATCCCAATCCTTCTACCAGCACCAATAATAGTGAACACAACAGTGATAATGCAGCAGACTCTGCTGCCAATATCTTTAATCACATACGTTCGAGCTTGAGGAACCCTTGGTCGCAGGATGATCTGGAGGACAACTCGCCATCTTTGATTTAAAATCTTTCACACTGATCAGAAATCATAAATTTATGCATTACTTTTGCCAAGGCATATCAATATAAACATACCGATGTATGCGAATGATCAGCATTTAATAGCTTTGGGTTCTTTTTTTTTTTTTTTTAATAAAATAACAGATAGAAATATTTCAAAGCTACATACCTAAAAATTGTTGGTTCACGGTTCGAGCCACTTGAGGATTATCAACATTCCAGATCTTTCTCGAATCTATAGTTAAGCTTATAAAGATAACGAATTTTGATTTATCCAAATTCGTAATTTAACCTAAAATATAAGAATATATTTTAAAGTTAAAATAAAAATATGTTCGGTATACACTAATCATATATTCGGATTGAGTCAAACTAAATTTTGAATAATTGTTTTACTTGGAATTCGGTAAGAACTTCCGATTAAAACCTGGTTTGATCAATAGAAGTGGGCAAAAGTTTTGCCAATTTTTCAAGTCTAAAATATAGTTTTTATTTTCAAAATTGTAATACAAAAATTCATAAATAGGTGGGTGCTTCTCGCTTAGATAACTAACAGACTAAATATACTTATATATGCACTTAAGTTAAAACTTTGGAATAGCTGGGAAACAAATGTTCTCATTGACTAAGAGCTAGAAACATGAAAGACAAATATAAAGACAAAACCAACAAGCAGGGGGAGGATCATAACTTGGAGTGTGCGCAACCGGCCGAGGCAAGAGATGTGGATCAACTAGAGACTAGAACAACGCTTGAGTGTTTCGATCGAGATCGGGAGGATTAACAGAAAACTTCAACGCCCGACTCTAGTTGGCTAGTTGAGCTCTGGTAGGAGGCCGTTGCGGGAGTCGCGTCCATTTGGATATTCCACACATTGTCCACGCCCGTGTTGCTGTAATAGTAATCCGCCGTCTGGTGGTGGTGCTGCTGCTGCTGCGACTGTTGCTGGTAGGAGACGGCGACGGCGGGCGATGCAATGAAGGATTGATGCTGCTGCAGCGATTGCTGCTGCTGTTGCTGTTGCTGTTGCTGATAGGCGGTGGCCTCATCGTACAGCAGCTCCACGGTGGAGGGGCCACCGCCATTAATGTTCGGATCGAACACGCTGAAGATTTCCGAGTGGGGCGTGTAGAAGCCATCCGGACTGGCATTGGAGCTGCCGCTCACGTCCAGGCTCTGCGGCACGTAGCCATTGAAATAGCTGTAATCCTCGGAGCTGTAGCCAGAGCTGCTGGTTAAGCTGGAGGTGTCATCGCAGCTCTCGTACAGGTTCATGCCCGCCTGGTAGCCGGACGCAGTCGTTGTCGTTGTCGTCGTCTGATCATAGCTGTTGGTCTGTGGCAGAGTCTGCTGCTCCAGCAAAATCTGTTGTTGCTGCTGCTGCTCCGGGGCATTATAGTAGCTGCCCGTAGAGCTGTTGGAGGAGAGTGGCGAGTGGAGCATGTCGTAGCCGTACATTCCGCTGCTATAACCCAGTGCCGGCGCATCTGGCTGATAGTAGCTCTCCGTGCTCCATTGAGGCGTCACGTAGCTGCTCTGCGCTGGACTGAAGATCGAGGAAGCGTTATTTGTTGCGGTTGCAGTTGCTGTGACATCTGTCGCATGGCCAGCGGCCTGGAAGCTCGCCATTAGCTCCGTGCCGGGCTGTTGCTGCAGTAGCTCCGCATTGGACGAGCGCTGCTTGCGTTTGCTGCCCTCCTGCAGCAGCAGCTGCTGTTGCTGCGTCTTGGCCTGGCGCTTGTTGGTGCGCAGACTGCACAGCTTATCGCTGAGCGCTGCGTCCCGGGCCAGCATGACGGCTAGGCTGCGCACGCGCCTGCCGCCCGCGAGCAGCCGGCGGGCCTCCGTGGAGCCCTTGGCCTCGGGCCGTGCATGATCGTGTGTGCCCTTGGCCTGGAAGTAGATCGCATTGCCGGCGCGCCGCCAGAAGTGTGTGACCGGATAGCCGCAGTGGCCGCGGCACGGCTGTATCTCCAGGCGTCCATTGCAGTTTCTAAAGAATCAATACAAATTTACGTTAGAGCTGAGCCTTTGACCGGGTTCTTGGGGGTCGCTGGCACTTACCTATTGGGACACTGTTTGCCCTGTTGCTTGCGGCGCGCCTTGTCGCATATGGCCGGGCGCAGATGAACGCTGGCTCCATTGGGCAGCTGGCACTTGGCGTTGCACAGCAGCACGCCCAGGCAGCTCTTCTTCAGTATGTTGACGTTGTGGTTGTTGGTGTTCCGCATAGCCCAGCCGCTGGCGTGCTTCTTGGCATCCTCGTTGTGCCCGGCATAGATTAGGCGACAGTGGCCGTTGGCCCAGTCGTTGAACTCGTCGAATTCGCTGACCGTCGGCACAACCGTATCATTGATATCCCATTCGATTTGAATGCGCGACTTGCTCGCCGGCGGACTCGCCAACGGACTGGGCTGGCCCAGGGCCAGGGGCAGCGACAGGGGCAGGGCAGACATTGCACCGGCCATTTCGTTTAAGACCATCTTTTTGTTAGTTAATTAAATTTTGGTACTGTTCAGTTTTTAAGTTTTTTCAATGTGTTTTCTCTCGCACACAGCACACTGCACTTTTCGTGGCGATTGTCTCGAGTAGCGACTTGGTTGATTTTCCGGCGCGGCGTAGACGTCCGTTCACAACGGCTGCGCAATGTTGACTGTCTCTGGCTGTGCCGAACACCACATTAAGTTCCTTTTGACCGAAGCGGCGACCACGACGCAAGCGGCGCAGCGGTGGTTGTTTGCTCGACTCGCACCGTTGCGCTCTCATTGGCTTGCTTTCCAGTTTATCGAGTTTATCCGGTTTATCCGTTTATTATCCGTGCGCCAGCTATCCGTCAGACACACACACACACAGTCCAGCAGCAGCACTCTCTTTCTCGCATTTCTACTGGAACTCTTTTACACACGCACACACCAATTTTATGTGGGCACACTCGTCGTCATCCAGCCGTCGCTGTCGCCGTCGACGTCGTCGCCGGCGCTGGCTGTGCTCGGGTTTGATTGGACAGCCATTGACTCTGGTAGCTGGCAGCTGGCAGCTGGCGCTGTGTCGCTGGCGCTCTTGACTCTCAGTTCCAGAGCTGCTGTTGCGCTGCTCTAGCATTGGCACACCTGCGGCCCGATTGTCTCCGCCCGCTCCCAGCCCCCCTCTTCAACCTGGGCAGCAGCACGCGTCGACCAAAAGGGGGGAGGCATCGCTGGGTATTTGTATTAAAGCAGGCAGTCAAAGCTAATTAAGTCTGGGCTCAAAGAAAAAAAGTAACAACAATTGTGAATTACACCAGGCACCTGGTGACGGGCTCTGCTACTGCGCCAGGGATAGGGACAGTGACAGGGACAGAGGCGGGGAACAGGGGCCAGTTGCAGCACCAGGACCTGGAGCACAGTCGCAGGCGTAGTCAGAGCAGCCACAGCCACAGCCACAGCAGATGTGCGATTGTGGTTTAGTTTTGTATTGAAGTTTGCGCTCAAAGCAGCGTTAAATATGAATGGAAATGCAGCTGAGAGGAATGTAGGAAAACGAAGGAAAACTTTTGTATTTATATTCTAAGGGACAAGTTAAGAGAGTTCTGGCTAGTAATTAAGCTAAAAGGTAACTTCAATTAAGATATGGATGTATGTGAGGCTTGTCAAAGCTAAAATTGAATACAAATCCTCTTTAATTTTTAAAGTTAAGAGTATTATGCGAAACCATTTCTTCTAATGCAGCCTTGAATATATTTATACAAATATTTCATCATTTTTAATAATTTATTTTTTTTGCTGGCATACAAAATGTATTCCCTTGTTTAGTTTATTAAATAGGAATTAATATAAATATAAATATATTATATATATATATTCTTTGCCATAGTCCTGCGGCCATTGAAACCTAACGGTGTTACTTCTCACGATCTTTCCGGCGATAGGCTTTAAACGATTGCAAAAAATACGCTGACGCTATCTACAGGAAAATCGGATAGGAACTTCCTCGGAGAAGATCATAAAATACAATTTAGCACGCAAAAAAATAGGAGAAGCAGTAAAGCAACCCCCAAACGCAAAAGGATATATGAAAACCCAAGTCAAATGCCATAACTCAGGCATATGCCATAAAGTTAGCAAACAAATTTCTTTGGTCTCTCTGAGATCTTAAGCCGAAGATAAAGCAAACAAACATAATCATTAAAACTGAACGCTGAAAGCTGAAGGGCGAAGGGTTGAGCAAAGGCGACGGGTAAACCCCATAATTTTCACACTTCTCACACAAGAAGAAGAAAATCGTGCAATTATGACACGTCACAAGCGAATGAATGAGCAACCCGCGGTGCCTGGCTTGGGACGAATGCTCGCCCAGAGATTGAGCACTGAGCACGCGATAGGACTTACTTACGACAGGACCTTAAAGGATTACACTACCGAAGGGTGCGCCTGAAGAGGCGTTGACTCAGAAAAGAAGTCATGACGTTGCATATTATGCGAAAGACCGAAGGAATTCGTATGAGATTAATAAACAGATCATCTATGTGTGTGTTTGTATGCCTACCTGGCTGGCAGTTGGAGTGAATGGCTGAAAAGTGGGTGTGGCCCTTTAATGATGCCTCAAATTAACTGTTCCATTTCAATTACGATTACAATGCCAACATCAATTGCGACTTTTCACTCCAGTCAAATTTATTTGACATTCTCCCCGGGGTGGCGGCGACTAGCCGGAACTCTTTTTCCATTTTCGGTTTTTCCGTGACACAGCCATAAAATTGTAACCAAAAATTACGCATAAATGTCATCGTAAATTCAGCAATTTCCCCGCTAGTCGTGGGAAGTAACACCCAAAGGGATTTGCACCGGTCTTGCTATATTACAGGCACTCGGATTTGTGTGCAATGGCAGGCTCTTGAAATTTGAAAATTATATTAACTATAATAGTCCAATATAATAAAGTAAATAATATTAATATAATTATATTACAATGCTAGCAGAGAAACTGTGACAATTTTTTATATACAAATATTATTAAAACACATATAAAAAAATAATATATTTTGTTTTTTAGGGCAATTCATATATATTCAAATTATATAGCATGCTTAATCAAAACACGTAGAGAGCATACTTCAATTTTTGAGAATCGCATATAAGGGCAACATATTAAGATAGCGGGGGATCTATTTTTTGAATGTCGAATATTTTTGATTTAATTTTGCATATTTTCATGTAGAGCATTTAACGTTTAACGTTTAACGTGCATTTAAAGCTCGCCTAACACTTATTAATCTGCTTTCTACAAGTGCGCGTTACTTTTACGTAAAAATAACTTTCGTGGAATTTCGTTTAAGTGGGTTTCAATACATTTCTTCCATATAATTTAGTTCGCTCTGCGGGTACTGTTAAGGGGATACAAATATGTAAGTGTATTTATACAGTTTTTAAACAAATATATTTGTGAATTTATCGTTATAGTTATATTCTAAATGGTAAATATTTTAAATAGAGTTAGTTTAGTAAGTCACCAAGGCGTTTGACGAAAACATCCCAACATCCTTACGTAGCCTGTGACTTGAACCAAGATCCTGACCTTTAAAAATTCCAACTTAACAAATAATAATATAACTATATCTCGAGAAGTGTAAGCGAATGCTCGATCTTCTGTTAGAATCATTTATACATACATATTTTTCATGTGAGTATTTTGTTCTCAATATTGAAATCATTTTGTGTACTTTCATTTTATAGCACGCTATTATTTTGGGGTAACTGTGCGATTACATTATCATCTATTTATATTAAGTACATTTTACCCTCTGCCATGTCCTGCCTAGTTGTCGATAGAAATGCTTTCATGCTTTCCATGAGCTCGGGGCTTATCAAGCAACAAGCATCTAAATCTAACAAACAGCCGAACAACAATTCGCAACTAATTAACTGTACTTTTCACTTTAGGCCGCAATTAAAACCGCATATAGGAAATCATTCATTTGGCAACGGCGACAACATGAAAATCGAAATAACCAGAGATCCGATCTGTGCAGCCAGATAAGGCCAATGATGAACTTAGAACAACCCTCCCAGAGGCGGACTGATTGCTTGGGCTAGGATCATGGCGCATGGTAAATGATTTAAAGCAAGTCTCATAATTTTTCATTGTTCCTCTGGCATTTCCACAAACTGATAAATGGAACTCAAAACGTAAACGGCAACAACTATATAACTAACACACACACACACCAGATCGAGTCAAACTGATAATACCTTTCACACTCTGCGTGAGTCCGCTGGGTCCGCTGCGTCCTCTGCGTTTGCTGCGTCTGCTGCGTCCGTCCAGCGCCGCGAGTGTCCTGCGGTGCGGGGACGAGATCGCTGGCCCACGATTGCGGCAGCGGACTCGCCCGAGACCAGTGAGAATTGAAATGTTTCGGCACAGAGAGTATTCGAAATGGGACTGATCGTTAGGACAAGTGGCTGCTAAGTAGCTTGGCCAGCTAATCCGATGTCCAAACAAATCGCCAGACGCTCGGGCTCGGTCAGGTGTTGTTGTCGATGTCGGTTAATGGGCTTAGGGCCTCCATTGTGCATTGTCCACCGGGCACAATTCGTTTTGAAGGATTACGTGTGAAATATTTGTTAAATATTTTCATAATTTCCCACGCGCATATTTGTCTATTTTTTCTTCTTTCTGTATTTTAATTTTTTTTGCATTTCTTTACTTTTGTTTCATTGAAATCGCTCTCGTGCATATTATTTGCTTTGGTTTTGTAGAAATTATGGCATTGAATTACATGCGCCTGGCGACGTGCATATACAAATTTCTCCCACAATTTGGAGGGCTCTATCGCCAACAGTTAGCTACCCGCATTACTTAATCATAATGCGTTAGACTCACCGTCGACCTTTGAGAAATGCGATTCGACATAGAGAACTACAGAGAGAGAGAGAGAAAGAGAGAGAGCGACAGAGAGAGAAAGCGAGTACGCGAGAGATTAAGCGCGAGGCAATTACAGAAGCTGCGTCTAAATTTGCTTCCAGTATTAGGCCGAGGCGTTGGGGAAATATCTCGACTAAGAGGAAAAACCAAGTACCAACGCTTTCTAGAGAATTTTGAAATTACAAAAAAAAATGTAATCAACTTTGAGAAATGGGCATTTTGAAATTATTATTTAAACAATACTCAAGTTTAATATTTGTATTATCTAAAGATGATTAAAATAAAAACTATAAAATCTTACTTTTCTTTGTAAAGTGTTTCCTTTTTTTTTTGTTTAATATTGATAGATTATCACAGCAACATAGCTGATGTTAAATTTATAAAGACTTTGCAGGAATAAAGGTTATACAATTTAGATTATACAATTTCTACATAAATTCTATATTCATAATCAGCATCTGCAATTAGGTCTGATTTAGATGTATTTAAAGCGTTTTCCATTCTTTGGATTAATCTTCATTTTCTGAGCGATAATATCAAACTATAATCATAATCATCTACAAATATTACCCAAACATCATTAGAAGAATATGACATTTTCGAGAGGAGCAATGGCAATCGCAACGGAGGGTCTCTTAGTTTTTTTTAAGCTTAAAAATCAGACTAAAGCTCAAAATTGCTTTCGAGAATATATTGATCATCTACGAATGTGCTATTGCACGTTTTTTAGGCTTAAGGACATTTCTCACCATAAAAAATGGAATTAGGCACACTTGCCGCCGGGGACAAAGCGATTCGCGTTACGCAATAAAATCTAATTAGTAAACTTATAAGGAAACAAAAAAAAAAAATAATAATAAACAACTGCAACTGTAAAATTTTCAGGTACTTCAGAAAAAAGATTCGAGAATTCGGCATGGTAAGGACACTTGAGCACAACAAAGATGCACAGACAAAGGACACACGCGCGCCCCTCGCCGGGCAAAAAACAACCCCCTCCCGGAGAGCGAAAATTTTCAACTTATTTTCGGTCCCTCGCGCTGTTTACTCAGGCATAAGAGAACAAAGTTAGGCAGGACTCAACAGTTAAATAAAAAAGCAGATGAATTGAAAATTTTTTGTAAATTTCAAAAATCAAATGCCACATAAAGTGGCAAGTTCGTGTGCCGCGTGTCGAATGCTGTCAATATTTCCGGTGTGTCTAATGACAAACGCATGTTTACACGAGTGCGAACACATCCGGACTGAACGGGGTGCCGCCCGGCACATTACACGGGCATCAGTTTAAAGCCAGGATCTGGCCGACGGC